CCCCCCCCCCCCGGCCCCACTGCCCTGGGGCTCAGGGGCACGGGGTTGGGACTGGTTATTGACATTTACAAATGGGTACTGGTACAAAAAGAGTTGAGAACCACTGACCTAAAGGAAAAGCAGGGTGTTTTTGTTTTTTTTTACATACAGCATCTCTCCTCTTTCGTGAGGCCCACATATTACAGCGACAGATGGGAGGCACCCTCCACGTTGACAGCAAGGGAGCAAAACCATGCCCTGCCCAGAAGAGCTGTCCATAGGTGGATGCGGGTAAATTTAGCTCCTTTGTTCTTGCCTGCAGCTCCAGGAGAAGGGGAAGAGCTGAGCCCATCTTCTCACACACCTCCGGAGGGGCCTTGGATAGCCCGCGGGCAGTGGGGGTCCCCGGGCGCAGGCAAGGAGAGCCCCCAAAGCCGGCCAGAGGCGGCCGCCTGGGGCAGGGTGTCTGGAGGCGCCGGAGCCTCCCCGTTGTGTCGGGCGGGGTTTCGGGGCCGCCCCGAGGCCCGCGAATGGTGGGGTGGGAGGCTACAAGGGCGGCGCAGCATCCCGGGCCCGCTGTGGCGCAGTGCTGCCAAGCCCCAGGGCGGCCCGCCAGCGCCCCCGCTAGCCCAGCGCCGTCTCCCGCCAATTCAGCTGCGCGCGCGGCTCCTCCAGCCCCGCCGCGGGGAGGCCGCCGCACGGACCCGGGCGAGGGGAGGATGTCCCCGCCGCCCTCAAGGAGACCGAGTCCCGCCGCTGAGTACCGGATGGGGGACGCGCACTCACCTCCCCTTCGGGCGGGCTCGGGTGCTGTCTCCTGGTCCTGGACGCAGCCCGCGGGCTGGGGAAGGACAGCGGCGGCGCCAGCGGGCGAGAGAAGGCGGCGATCTGCAGCGCTAACGTGGTAGTGGCGGGCAGGTGCCTCCTCCCCTTCCCTTCCTCTTCTTCCTCTTCCTCTCGGGCCACGCCGTCCCGCCCCGCCAACCCCCACATGGCCCAGCCGGCCTGGCTGCTGCCCCCGAGGCCGGAGTAGGGGCTTGGCGGGGCCCCGGGGCAGCGCCTTGCGAGATCCCCTGCGAGCCTGCGTGCAGCCTTTGTCTGGCTCCATCTCGGGGCCGCGCCCCAGGCGGCGCCGCCGCCGCCCCTCGCTGCTGCGGGCTGCGGGTGGGGGTCGGGCCTGGGCGGGAGCCTGCGTTCGGCTTGCCCCCCTGGGGGCCTGCGCTCCGACCCCTGCCCCGGTTTCTTGGCTGTGGAAAAACCCGAAAGACATTCTTGCTGTTGCTGAAGAGGAGGAGCGCCCCCAGGGCGGGATGCTCCGCGCCGCGGACTCCTGTTAGAAACCTCTGGCTTCATCTGGGGCATCACCATTGCCCACCTCAGCTTGCCTGGCACCCTGAAAGGATGCCCAGGGTGCTACCGGACCCTCTCTGTGAGAATCATAGAAAATGAGGGTTGGAAACGACCCTCAGTGATTCTCAACCTTTTTTGTACCAGGACCCGTTTGTAAACATCAACAGCTAGTCCTGGCCCAGTGCCCCCCACTCCTGACCTGCTGCCCCCACCCCAATGTGTGAGGCAGGAGGGGCACAAGCAGCCCCATTGCAGGCTGGAAAGCCATGGATTCCCATTTTCCTTCTTTAAGGAGAATCCATTTTTAAAGTTTGTTTGCAACCCCTTCATACATTCTTGCAAGCCACTTTTGTGTTGTGACCCATGAGTTGAGAAATGCTGATCTAGTCCAATCGACCCCCCAAGGCAGGATCATCCCCAGTGAGATCATCCCAGCCAAGGCTTTGTCTAGCCAGGTCTTCAAAACCTCCAAGGATGCAGATTCCTCAGCCTCTCTGGGTAACCTGTTCCAGGGCTTTGCAACCCCTGTAGGGAGAAAGATAATAGGGAAGACTAACCTAAACTTCCCTTGCTACAGCTTGAGACAGTTGCTCCTTGTTCTGTCATCTGCTACCACTGACAACAGTCCAGCTCCATCTTCTTTGGAAACCCCCTTAAGGTAGATGAAGGCTGCTATCAAATCCCACCTCAGCCTTCTCTTCTTCAGACTAAATAAGCCCAGTTCCCTCAGCCTCTCCTCAGAAGTCATGTTGCCCAGCCCCTTCACCATTTTCGTTGCCCTACCCTGGACTCTCCAATTTGCCCACATCCTTTCTGTAGGGGTGGGGCCCAAAATTGGACACAGTACTCTGGATGTGGCCTCACCAGTGCTGAATAGAGAGGAAGAATCATTTCCTTCAGTGTACTGGCAGCATTCCTACTAGTGCAGCCCAGTATGCCATTAGCCTTCTTTGAACAAGACACACTGTTAGTTTATCTACAAATCCTTGGCATGCACCATGTGGCTTTGTTGTGTTAGGCCTTCAGCACAACAGACAAACCCTTACAGTGGGCAGCGATCAGTTCCCACCAAAAGGGGAAGCTTGTGTGTGGCTTCCCAAATCGAGTACAGAAAAGCCAACCTGTGCCCTGACTATATTCGCTAATTTCTCTATACATCATGTAAACTGGAAATGTTTTCCCTGCGTAGTCACATGTTAATACAGTCAAGTTTGAAACATGTCATGGTTTTGTTCTTCCGAAAACAGAAAAAGGAAGTGGCATGTACGCTAACTGCACAGCTGGCAGGTGCCTGTGTGTTTGATAGGTCCCTGATAACCCTGTAAACGATTCTATTATATCATTTTAATAGAACCTCAGTTTGAAAGAAACTAAAGAATAAATATGTAAAAATGCATTGTCACTGGCAAATAAAACCCAATCCTACCATTATTTACGTACATATTTAATGATAAGAACTTAGTTTCACTGACTTGAATGGAACTGCTCACATGCTTAACATATGTGCTTGTGTAAGCTGTGATACAGGGCAGCTTGCAGAGCTGTGATCTGGCAGCCTGCAGAGGATTTGAGTTGTGATAGGCCTCAGCTACAGAGGCTTTGCTCTTTAGCTCACAAACAGTGGCAGTTCCAGCTTGTAGTTCCTATTTCCAATTCAATCCACTCTGTCAGCAAAAATGGCAACTGTCATACCTGTAGGTACCTGGCTTAAGGGAATGATACTTTTTATTGGTATGTTCTTTTTTCTCAAAGGGTCTCAGACCACTTCATATATATAAAAATAATACTTTGTAGATAACATCTGAAAAGTGCTGTATAAACACTGACTAATTAAGGGTCACATTAGCTAATTAGACACAATTATTACAGGCAGGAAAACTGAAGTTAGAGAATAGGTGACTTGGCCAAGTTCACAAAGTAAAGAGCCAGACTTTCAACCTTTACTCACACGAGTAAGCCTCACTGTCTATTCACACAGGTAATTTAAGTAGCCCTGTGGAAATCTCATATGATTAAGGGATGGAGGATCAGATACCAAATTAGAAGCATAACTCCTGACTCAGTTCTGTGCTGAAAGCACCCAGTGTTCCTTGCCAACAGCAGATAAAACATATTTAATTTACTTATTTAGTTAAATAATATGATATTTTACTTATATTTAAAACTGAGAATGTACAAGAATCTCAAGAAGAAACCTAACACAAATGTAAATTGCATAGTGGAGGTGATCAGACCCAAACAACATTGCACATAATAAACGTATTTTTCTTCCTTTGTATAAAATAAGAACCAGATAGTGATTAATTAGTTTTCATAGCACCATGCTATCAACTCTTATATTATAGCTGTGGTAGTTTCATTTTACAAATATGAGTTTTATACATTAACAGGAATTCCTAGACCCAAGTTTATTACTTTTTATAATATTTGATAAAATTTAAGATAGGAGAGAACCAGGCAAAAATAATAGTACCTTTCATTAAGATACTGGGGACTGGGGTGGTGTGGGCATTCAGGTGCAAGGTTGACAGCCCAGAGGTCAGAAGTTTGAAGCTATAGCAGAAGTGCTCACATGCAACCCTGTCAGATTCCAATTAATCTGCAAATTCTGCTAAATACCTTGTCAGACAAGGACACGAAAAAGGAAAGACTAAAACATGTATCATATACAGTTTTCTTTCAAATGCATCTCCTCAAATTGCCACTGACTTACCAGTAAGTGTTTTTTTTTTCAGATGGTAACAAATTTGGTTTTCAAAAAACTAAATTACAAATGTCAGTATTCTTTCAGCTGACTTTTATACAGCATTGGAAGGTGCAGCGCTCCTGATACGCAGAAGCATGTGTGGTGATTGCTTATGTAAAGCATGCTTGTTTGAAAGCTTGATCATATAGCATAGAAAAAATAGGATCAAAGGGGCTTTTACTCTCACTGTTTGCTCACTGACTATTTTTGAGACTGTTGGTCATATTCACCTTGATATCTTGGAATACTTCATCTTCTATGACCCTATCCTCTAGTAGTTTTTCTACCTTTTGCTTTTCTTCAGATTTTCTTACTGTAGGTTCCTCTCCTACCCACTTCCTCCATGGCCCTTCTCTTCCCTCTTGTTCTTTGTATCCTTTGTCACTTTTTACATATGATCTCATGCATGTATATGGCTTCAGGTATACAAATCACATTTTTATACATTTAAACAGTTCGCAGATCCACTTTTCCTATCCTGTCTTCTTTTCACGTCTAGACCTATTTGCCACTCGCACCTCATCTTCAATGTCCATCCATGAACTTAAACTTACCTAAGCATATTGAACCTTCTGCTGTGGCTTTTAAGGGTGCCATGCAATGTTAGTACAGTTAGGTGTATCGACAGCTATACATGACTGACACGATAAACCCAGAGATTTCAAATAGGAATCGATGGTGGTAAAGCATCCTGCTCTGTTGTGGTCTTTCTGAGTTCTATACAACAGAAGAATTGCTCTAGTATTTTTCTATAGTCAAGAAACTAGTTTAAGCTAAAAAGGTTGAGACCCACTATGCAAGGGGCTAAACACAAGAACAAGTTTCTGTGAGGGAATTTGGAGTGCATCAGATACTCTTAAAGGTAGTTAAATTACTTTGCATTTACTATGTGGTAAGAAGTTGCACTTCTAGATGCATTGTAAATTCATGCTATAGTGTTCCTCATGGTAGCTTCTTCACACGCCTATATCCTTATTTAGGCCTGTCACTCAGCTCTGCCCTAATTATATCTTATACATGTAAAATACTTATCAGTCAAAGTAATTTCAGACCCACATCTTGAAATAATGTTTTGTTTATCACAGATCATTTTAAACTGACTTTTAAAAAATCATGTACATTATCTTCTAATTATTTTCTCTAATAAAAATTCTGCTTACAAAATTAAACCATATAACTCTTCCGTTGGCTACAATATGACAAATGTGACAATTTAGAGAATCTGCCTAAGTACAGTTTATGAATTCAGATTGATTGAGGGGGGTGGGTTTCTATGTATATTTATGTAAGGTTGCAAACCATTTTGGAAAATAGACTTAATTGCCTTCCTTGTTGACAGTAGGCTGTGGCCGAGGGCCCAGTGTGAATACAGTGGGCTTGGTAAATTAACAAAGGGACACTTGGTGAGGATCTTTTATAACCTGACGAGACTGCTCAGGGAGTCACCTGACAAAAAAGATGCTACAAGAGAAAGGATCTTTCACCAGCCATTCCAGAATGAGAGAAGAAAAACAAAAGGAGGCCAAGAGCAGAAACAGAAAGCTGGCTGCAAGATGGCGAGAGACACCATATTTTAGGAGGAGTCATCAGCTGCAGGAGTTGAATCCGTTACATATAGAGGACTCTTGACTTAAGCCAAAAAAGCTCAGGAGTGGTGAGGAAAGGGTAGCAGGCAGAATGTGTGTAGGCATAGGCGACTGGTAGGGGGTGCATGGGGGTGCACATGCCCCCCATGACAGGGCCGTTGCCCCCCCAACAGCCAACACTGACGCTGTGAGCAGGGCCAGTGCCCCCCCTGACAGGGCCGCCGCCACT